GGGTGGGGGGCGGAAAGGACGAGTGGTGCCTGGTGGGGTTGGTTGTCTTTGTTAATGCGCAGAACAGCGACACAAATATATATACGTGGTACCTATATATATTGACCTGAGTATTATAACTGTTTGGTGTTCACCAAGGAAGGGGCAGGAGAGATGCGGGAGCATCTGGCGTGACTGGCCTGGGCAAGACCCCTCTGCCGTGGGCTTGCTGGGCTCGGAAGGGCGTTCGACCTACGTCCAAAAGGTGTGAAGGTGGCCTTGGTTTTTGAGGGTATGTTAGGTGATGGGTAAACGTTAAACCGTTTGTCGTGACTGGTCCGAGGTTGGTAGTTAGTTTGTTTGGCCAAGGACGCCGGCGCTGGCGCTCTGCAGCGAGGCACGTTCTTGGCCCCGTGCTCGTGGCGGGGAGGGGAAGGGGCAGGGAGCGGGGTGGGCAGGGAAGGTTTGTTGGCAGCTCTCACGGCCGAGGGACTGCCCACGGCACCCAGCAGGGACCAGTGCCCGGCAGAGTCGCACACGGATCCATCCGAAACATGGACCACCGGGTTGAGCGCAGCCTTCGGAGGGGCGAGGGAGAAGCCTCCTGGGCTGCGGCTGGATCTCCCGGAGGCGGTGGGGAGCTTTGCTAAGCTGATCCTGGTGACATTTGCTCAGAGAGGAGATGTGAGGGCCTCCAGAGAACGAACACGTCAGCGTTGAGCTGGGCGGATGGTGAGGAGGATGCTGAGCATGTATTTTCTCTTCCTTTCCTGAGGAGCAATTTAGAAAGGGTCAGAGATGCTGGAATGTGGCAGGAAGGAGGTTTGCTGCCGCAAACCGGCACCGTTAGTATTAAGTGTCTTACTGTGCTGCAGTCGAAGACGCTCAACATCTGTCAGGGCTCATGAAAACCATAGGTACATCTAGCTCTTAATTCCCAAATGCTACCTGCTAAGCAGCCTGCCTTATCTCCCCCTCCAAAAGTAACTGCTGAAATACTGGTGATAGGCCTGGGGCCCAGCCGAGCGGAAAGACCACAAGACTTCAAGGGACTTTGTCGAGGCTAAATAATTTATTTTCACTTTCTCCGCAAAGAACCAGCATACAGCGCTGTATTCCTGAAGTCCTGCTCTGTCCTTTCTTTCAAGCTCCAATTAGCTCTTACTCTGGACAGTTAAATAGGATGTCAAATGGATCTTGATGGGATGCTTGCCTAGTGGTGAACGTCAAAGGAGTTATCTTATCCCCTTTTTTTTTTTTTTTTCAGAGAGAACGCAAAATATAAAGAAGTTTTTATGATCGTGTTTGCTTTTCTTTAAGTGTTTTGAGGGAAGCAGCTAGATCGGTCTGATTAGCCTGTTTTAATTTTCTGCTTCTGTAGCCTACTCTATTTGTCTCCTAATTAGCACTGGGTGCCAGAATGCAGGGGAGTCTGGGGTTCAGTGAGTGCAGCTCAGGTTTAGTTTGTGGGAGAGTAAATATCACCACAGCCAAGCCTCAGACACACGCTGCAATGCGTTTGTGGCTGGGTGTCATCACCTTTGTGCCTCCTCCTGCTGCTGTGTTTTTTAAGTTAAAAGGTGTACCGTTTGGGGCTGAAATACTTGACCCTGACACTGTCTCTTTAAAAAACGAGTGCTTCAAGTGGTAAAGGGAAGAGCTCGCTTTCATGTTTTGGGACGTAGAAGATACTGTACCCTTAGGAGCCTCCAGTCTGCTAATTAGTGTCAGATGAAGATGCCTAAGATTAAGGTATAAGCAACATTATAGTGGATAAATGTGGGCTAATCTGCCACCGAGGGGATGTTTCTTTCCAACTCCAGAAAATGATTTCTTTTATGTATTTTTTTTAAAAAAAACTAGCGCTTTTTTTTTTTCTTTTTAATTCTTTTTACTTGAGTTGAGTTGCACGATAAAGCTAAACCTGGCTGTGAACCTCAGCTTAAGCTGTTGGGCTTTCCTGAGATAGGAGGAGACAGTAAAACCGCAAGATGGAAGTAGTCTGCAATGCCGAGGAGCTTCCTGTGATTCCGGAGTGGTTGTTAAAGCTGGATAATTCCCTGGTTTGTGCCCGGTGCGGAGGAGGGACAGAGTAGGGATGAAGCCGCAGGGACTGCTAAAGCCAACTGTTGTATAGAGGGGCCTGGGCCACGGTACTGATTGCTGTTAGCAAACCTTCTTTTTAAATAAAAATACAAGAAATGAAATAAATGTGCAGGGTTTTTATTCTGTATTTATTTTCATCGACTAGAAGGGTAAGAAGGAGGGCAAGACTGTAAAATGCCATGCCAGTGAAACGGGGAGACGCTGTAACCTTTGCCAGTGAAGGGGAGGGGAAGGCTGGGCTGCTTTGCCTGTCTGGGGTGGGTGTCGGTGCTCTGCCAAGGGGACATCCAAAGCCACCAGGATGTCCTCACTGCGCCTACAGAGATTATTGAGCAGAATCGAACGGCAGCGCAACAGGGGTGTGCTGGGGGGTGAAAAGGGGATGGGAAAAGGGACTTCTGGTGCCCTTGAAGTAGCTGCTGGATCAAAGCACCACCAAGTTATAGGCAAATTACTCAGGGGGATGAAATTGCTGGTGATGTTTCTGTTCCCAGAATGGCTCCTGCTCACCCTTGTTTTAAAAATACATTAGGTGAAGAGCAAGACCCCGCAGCTATTGAAATCAATGGCTGAGCTCCCATTTCACCTCACTGCCACGCAGGTTGGTCCCTGCTGTGTTTATATGCACAAAAACATCTAGAAATTTCCCCCTTGCTTTAGTGGGCTGTGTCAAGTCCTCTGGTCTGCTTCTCTGAGCAGCTGCTCAGGTTGGAAACTTACTTTATCATCTATTTCCAGCAAAATAGCTGGGACCTGGCTCCACCGAGCCCCAGCCCCTGCCACTCAGCAAGCTGTAAAGCCCATGTGCTGTTCGGTAGCGCTGGGAGCGGAGTTTCAGGTTCAGCTTCTGCTCTGCACAGGGGGGGAGGTGGCGCTTGCAGTAGGTGGATGATATTTGGGTTGTTTTGGGGCAGCCGCCAGCCGTCAAGCAGCCGCGGGGCTGCAGCACGGCAGGTGGCCGATGGGGACCCAACGGCCGCACCAGGCTGCTGCTTGATGAATTTCTTCATGCCCAATTAAGGCTCTCCTGTCGTCAAGAGTGAAACAAAAGCGAGTATTGATGCTATTCAGGCAGGGATGCAGGTGCATGTGTTGCAGCGTGAATGTACTTAACTGCCCTAAATGACAGCAGCAGCTCCCTTTGGTCTTCGTTCCTCCATCCCACTGCTCCCTCCAGCAGTGAGGCCAGCCCAAACTGGCAGTGCTGGTAGCTCTGGGACGGGGAGCTCCCTCTCATGGGTTAGGCACATTTGTGCTAAAAAGCCTTCAGATGGTAAGAAGCGACCTGAACTTGTAAAATAGAGGTAAACTTGAGTCTCCACCCAGCTAAGCCCGGAGTTTGGGGCTGTGTTTCCCAGCGTGGCTTTTTGGGACAATAGCCTAATGGATGCTTCTGGACAAAACCAACGTCCTTTTCCTCGCCGCGTGCCTCCAGCGCATTTTCCCCTTACAACAGCTTGGGGATAAGGGTCTGGTCTTGCCTGCTCAGCTGCGCCACGGCCAGAAGCACAGCTGCCCGAATTGCTTTTCTTTTTAACCGTGGTTCGCTTGGTTACAGCCCAGCCTTCAGATCTGCCACATGCTTCTTTGTGTCTCTGGGCTAACAGCCAGCCCAGCCGCGAAACCTCACCGCTCCCTCCGACGCCACCGAGCATCGCAGCACGCACACGGACCCTCCTGGTGTCCTCTCCCCTTGATTACTCCAGTGATTTTGGTCCCCGCTGAGCAAAGCTCAAGGAGCGAACCCATCATTACAGACCTGTCCAGGCTAAACGAGGACCCTTCAGACACGAAGATTAATTCAGCTCTCGCCACGCTCGTTGCTGTATGCGTGTGCTGCAGAGCTGTGCAGAGGAGGAATGCACTAGCACAGCACTTTTTTTTCTCCCTATAAAAGTATGTATACATATAGAATGACGTGGCTTTTGTTTCCTGGGGGAGATCTTGCCCATATCTTGCACTGACACGGAGTTCACCTCCTCTGGACCAGCTGCAGAGTCCACAGGCTCCCTGCTGCCAAGGTCCTTTATAATTAATGCCTGCACTGCCTTATTTAAAGCTGACCTGGGTGAGTCGCAGCAGCTCCTCTGAACTGCGGTGCACGACCCCGGCTGCCTCCTGCAGCCCGCAGCCCCTCGCCCGGGCAGGGCTGGCAGAGGCACCTCTCCCCCTCCCAGCCGCCGAACGAGAGGGATGGAAGAGGGACGACCGCCTTCCCCTGAATGCTTCATCAGCCAGGGCTTGGTGCAGGGTCAATAACCAATCCTCTGCTTCAGCCACAGCCCAGATAATCAGGGAACAAAGTGCAAATAGTCATTGTGAACGAAATTACAATTAAATCTTTTTTTTTAATATTTTTTCAAGCTGCCTGAAGGGGTTTCCTTAGTGCTAAGAAACAACTGAACCATCTTTTTTTTTTAAAAAAACACCAGTCTTTCAAAACAGTAAGGCACATTATTTTGTTTTGAAGGTGTAATTAAAATTGTTTGCATTTTTACGTTGCATTTTCTGCTTGGGAATAACACTGAGCACTGTGGACTTCAGTCAGGCTCATTTAAATGACATAAATGGTTTTGGTTGATCCCCATACAAATTCATTTTTAATTTTGTGCAAAATAATAGTCTCAAAATGGTTGCACCATCTACAGATCTTGATATATAGATGTTATTTTTTGACCACCACTCCTTTTAAAAATTTAAACGATCCTATTTCATGCTAGAGAGGCTTGAAACCATGGAAATTAAAGCTTAAAGCTTTGAGAGATCCCCAGGGGATGGCAGGGAAGTAGTTTCCTCCAGAGTGCCCCTCAACGTCAGGAGGTAAAACCAGGCGCGTGACCATGGTCTCCAGTGTAATGCTTTGTTAAACCACAAATTTTCCAGCT